CCCCGGGCCCGGGAGTTCTTCCTCTCGCCTCTCGGCGGTCGCCTCCGCATCCCAACTTCATCATTGTCCGTTCCGTCGTGGTACACTTCTATACAATTCCATCTTCATCCCATCTCAAACCATGGGGGCCTTACTCTCTATTCCCCTCTTGGCTCTCCCCAGCGCCAGCACGGTTCGCCAACCACCCCCCTTCCTTATCATGCATTCACCGCTGACTGACCGCTTCAGCTCATCACTGTTGCGACTTCGTGCTGCGGCGCCGCAACTTGTTCGGCAGTATGTAGTGCTTGTGGGAAGTTTCAGAACAGGTAAGACTTGCTTGTCTGTCGGAGCGATTAAACCCTTCCGTATTCTGGTCACCGTAGCTAACATCCCGGACTCCAACTTAGTATGGCGACGAGAATCGCCTACGCCTTCATCCTTCTAATTAATTCAATCGTCTCTTGGATTATGCTCACGCCATGGGCGCTGAAAAAACTACAACATATGACACTGGATTACATGGAGATCCGTTGCGACGGAAAAGAGTGCCACGGTTGGGTAGCCGTCCATCGCATCAATTTCGGCCTCGGACTTTTCCACCTTGTCCTCGCCCTCTTGCTCCTCGGCGTCAAATCATCGAAAGATAGTCGGTCCGTCCTCCAAAACGGCTTCTGGGGCCCCAAGATCATTCTGTGGATCGCCTTTGTCGTCGTGTCGTTCTTCATCCCCGAGCCGTTCTTCTTCGTTTACGGCCATTACATCTCTTTCATCTGCGCCATGCTCTTCCTCCTTCTCGGTCTCATTCTGCTGGTGGATCTGGCTCACTCGTGGGCCGAGATGTGCCTGCAGAAAATCGAAGACCACGACTCGAGAGTCTGGCGTGGATTGCTTATCGGATCGACCCTTGGCATGTACCTCGCGTCTCTCGTCATGACGATCCTGATGTATATCTTCTTCGCTCGTGGCGACTGTGCCATGAACCAGGCTGCCATTACGGTGAGTTCTTTTCACCGCCCTCCAGTCTTCCAGCAACTGTCCAATACTAATCAATTCAGATCAACCTGGTCGTCTTCTTGATCATCTCCTTCGTTTCGGTCCAGCCGGTTGTGCAGGAATCAAACCCCAGAGCGGGCCTGGCCCAAGCTGCCATGGTGACCGCGTATTGCACCTACCTGACTATGTCGGCTGTCTCGATGGAACCGGACGACAAACAGTGCAACCCGTTGATTCGGTCCCGCGGCACCAGAACCGCCAGTATTGTCTTGGGTGCGAATTGTCACCATGGCGACCATTGCGTATACCACCACGCGTGCGGGCCACTCAAGGAATTGCTTTGGGATCCCAAGGGTGGGCACAGCTATTCGCAACTGGGCAGTGAGGACAATGAACATGGTCTTGTGACTCAGCAGCCTACCAGTCGGCGTGAGATGCGTGCCGAAGCACTCCGTGCTGCCGTGGCTAGCGGTAGTCTCCCCGCCAGTGCCCTCGATGACAGCGACGATGAATCGGATGATGAATATGACACCAAAGACGATGAGCGTGGTTCCACCCAGTACAACTACTCACTGTTCCACGTGATCTTCTTTTTGGCGACCACCTGGGTAGCCACGCTCTTGACTCAGAATTTGGACCCCAACACGGTGGACGACTTTGCGCCCGTTGGTCGCACCTATTGGGCCAGCTGGGTGAAGATCATCAGTGCGTGGGTGTGCTACGCCATCTACCTGTGGACGTTGATCGCGCCGGTGCTCTTGCCGGAGCGGTTCGGTGTGTACTAAATGCTTTGAAGCTGCTCTTGGAGTTGGGTGTTTGGGAAGTTGTTCAAGAAGGTATATCTTATGTGTTTGTTGTCCTTGTATAGTCTAGCGCAGTGCTTTATTGAACATGAGATGCATTTATGATGCGTACATATCCTGGACATGCCTGTCAATATGTATAAGATGATATCTGTAAAGCTCGATATTTCCCTTGATGGAAAGTAGTGCCTCTGTACCAAGGTGGCTGGCTCCTCGAATATCATGTCTTCGTTCACCATGACATGAGAAATCTGCCTCCAATCTACGAGGAGGTCTAATACTACAGTCTACGGTGGATGTATATTCTCTGAAAGTGGTATGAAATCAATTTCCGATTTTCTATCCTTTATGATGTGATCTGTAAACAAAATGGAACGACCTGATAGATTGAAGCAGTACGAAAGGGCCAGTGACCCAGGTTACGTTTTGAGGAAAACCCGGGCTGTGATACAAGACTCATCTAACAAGGTTAGCCTAGTCCAGACAACAGAAACTCAGTGGCGATGCTTGCAGTTAGGACCGCAGCAGGTCGAAGCGCCTTGAGAACGAGACGAGCGATGGGAGCGCTCACTGGTAACATAGGAGTCAGGATAGGACTGCTCAGAGGTATAGCGAGTAGACGAGGAGCGTCTAGACACCCGACTAGGAGCCTGCGAGGCACTATCTTCCGGAGCAAGGGTGCTAGAACGATGGGAGGAGGACGAGACCTGCGAGGAGCGACGCGACGACGCATGGGAGGAGCGAGAATCAGAGCGAGAGGAGCCCATATCAGATCCACGGCGGGAGCTCGGCGCAGGAAGGAGACGTTGGGGCACAGCGCTAGCGGGGTTGCCCCCAGGAACCGACTCAAGCCAGTAGTCAAGACGGGCGGTGGGCTGACCTTGGGCCTGAGACTGAGAGTGACGGCTGACATGGCTGGGGGCTACCGAGCGGGAGCTACGGCGCTCCGACTCGACGACCGAAGGGTTGTTACGATGAGAGCGGTGGGAACGCGAGGAACCACGAGAGACCATGGACGCATCCTCAGCGAAGCCGGTGGGAGCAGGAGCAGAGTTACCAGGCATGCAAATGGTCTGAGTGGCTTCGCGGTAGCCATAGGAGCAGATGAAGACGGTAGTGGTAGTGGTAGTACAGCAAGAGCAAGCCATTTTGACTGATTTGATGTTAGAATGAGTCTGTTTGTGGTTGTATGGATTTGGGAGCTTTGTTGGTATTTTTGGAGCGGTTGATGTTGATGTGGTAGTGGTAGTAGAAGTGGATGGTAGAGGATGATGGAGATGAGCAAAGGGTAGC